GTATATCTCCTGTCCCAAGAAATCCTTATTAAAATAAGATTTGTATCTCGTGGGCTGTCTTACTCATCTGGTGAAAACATGAAGAAATAGCCTGCAAGAATAGCAGAACAGGAATTGTAGAGCTTTCCACTGGTTTAAAATTAGGGGCTGTGCAGAAACAAACAAGGACTTCAAAAGATCAAAACAGTTGCTGTTGATTTCAATTAATTTTGGTAGTTTTAAAAGATCAGTGTTTGCATGAGCTTTTTAAATTTTGGTAAAGATTTGAAACTGTATTTTTGATGACTTTAAGAAAAAAACTTTTTAAAGGACAATTATCCAGACAGTGCAAACAAGAAGTCTGATTCCGTCCCACCCCGTCCCACCCCCCCCGATACGCATTAAGTGTATCTTCTGGACAATTTGGTGTTTTGTTCCAGGTTGTTTAACCAGGCTATATTGAAATCTTTTCATAACATTGTCTTGTATAATAGTCTTGGTACCACTTTTTTCCGTACCGCTTAAATTCTTGAGCTGGTTGTCATCGTCTTGTGTATTCATCGTAACAGGTTAGTAAGGGAAGTCTTGTTGTAACTCTCTGTTCTAAATGTTGATCGTTGTCATGGTCTTGCCTGAATTATGTTCCCACATGTTTTTCATTCCTCCATTAGGTCTCACTCAAACGTGGTGCTTCTTTGTCTTTAGTTTTCAAGGCCTATTAAGTCCTATCTCTGCTTACTCTCTTTGAAATCTCTCCTTCAGGACTCTCATACTATCGTATCATTACCTCCTTATTGAATTGTCCAAGACAGTTTTATCTATGAGTGTCTCACAAAGCTGCCATTTATTTTCTAGTTCCTTCTCTTTATTCTACTTTTCTTTATTCCACAGTAACAAAAAAAAGGAACAGAAAAATAGCTCCCCAAAACAGGAGCAGGGGGGGAATCCTTATGTTCACTGCACTGAGACTTCTAACTGTCATGATGACTAGTATGTCTTGCCATTTCCTTATATTCCTCATGAGCATTTCTGTGTTTTGCTGTTCCGGTTGTAAATGGTTAGCATTTTGGTTTTAGGACTATATGGTCCTGGCTTTCTGCTATAGCTGTTAAAGAAATCCTTTTCTACAAAATCATTAAGGCATTTTTCCCAAAGTAGTATTTTAGAGTATTTTTGTGGAAAGTGTTTGAGTCTCATTTCTATACTGTAATAGAAGGACTTCACTGAAGTATGAAAGTAGGTTGTAGGTGTGGAAAAATAGGTCGTTAGGCATCCCTTAGCTGATGGGTGTAAATGATCAGGAATTGTCAACCTACTGGTGGAGTCACCCGAAAGATAGAAAAAAGCAGACAAGAGCTTCTAATGAATGGGTGTGAAGAAAGGTGTGACATGTGAAAACAGCTTTCACATGGTTAATGCTTTAAACTAAAAACTTGTAGCTCTGCTTCCTAGGACAGGGGAAACAATTGAATCCTGAGTGGTTTATATGATAGAGGCTGGTAACACCATGAGCATGTATATAGGCAAGCTTTGTTGTCTCCTTTTACTGCAAGATCTCTAAATTACTTTTTATTGCTGGCTGACTTAATACTATAACAAGTTTTGTTGGTATTGTTGTCAGCTCAATGGAAGAACTTTTTATTTGTGACCAGTTTAAATACAAAGTACGTCTAAGAGCAGAAAGGATTCTGAAGGGACAATTTTGTCTCATACGAATTAAATTGTAAGTGGAGACATAAAAGCTAACGTTTTTTTTTTTGTTTGCGGTTATTTGTACATTGCTGAGGTATCTGAAACTTTCCCTCAACAAGAGTATTTATCACACAAGATAAATATGCCCAATTCTGTAGGAAGTAAAAATAATTTTTCTGAATATTTTTTATTTGAGAAAAAGGTCAAAATCAGGTATGTAATCTTAACATCATTGAGCCCTTCTGATGCTATTTAGTAGTAATTCACCCTGTTGATACCAGTTAAGTTAAGAATGCTGCTTGTGGAGGAATCTAGCTTAAATCAGAGAATCAGAGTCAGGTAAGAGGAAGAAGGTTTCATGTCTGAATAAATATTAGTCAACTCTTCAAATTTTTTTTTTTTTTTTTTTTTTCCATTTCACGAAAGCTGGGTAATTCTTTGTAATTTTTACCTTAGTTTGGTTAGTTTTTGTGACACGTTTCAGGCAGGAGACTCCACCAATAGAACAATGAAACTATGGCGTTATACTCTACCTGTCTAAATAATACTCAAAACTTTCAGAAATCCTAGTGTACAATCCTAGCAAAGTATAGTTTTATTTTGGTGTGTAACTGATCTTACAATCTGGTAAATGCAGTGTATATTTTCTTTCACTTTCCTTGTCTCTGTAGGTAGCTAGCTCCCCTTTTTTCCCTCTCTCTAGGTTAGAATAGTCAGAATTTATCCTGTTATACTGATTCCTTATTTGATACAGCTTCATCTGTCCCAATTATCTGAAATTGTTTAAAAACATTAATGAACGAAGTTCCAGAACACTGTGAGGAGAAGAATATTATATTTAAATCCAGAGAAGCTCTGGGTTTTTAGATACATGCCTTAGAGAAAGATCTCCAAGTCTTGTTGTAATGTGGTTTAAACCACATTAACTTTCTCTCCAGGGCATTTTGATTATTAGTATTGGAAGAAAGGGTGAAGAGTGCAATGGTGGTTGGAGAATATTTAGGGGCATATCACTGCAAATCTGTATTCACTTAAGTTATTTCCTAGGCATCCATGACTGAGAGATGCCAGAGACAATATAATGAGCTAGATGCTTGGTTCAACCCACTAGACCATTTGCAATAGGCTGAGAGGTTTTTCCTCTGATGGAAAAAAAAAAAGAGAGAAAGAGGAGATATATAAATGGTAGGCTTTTATGCGTTTGGTAAAGATTCTAAATAATTTGTAATAAGGATTTCAGGTTTCTAGATGATAGAAACTGGTAACTGTAATACAGATAATTTTTTCTAATTTTGACTTCGTAATTTACCTGTTTTCAAATGCTTTTTTTCATTTTAGCGTGCTATCCACTACTGTACCTCTAGTATTGTCTTTTTTGAGACTCTACTCCATGTATGTGAGGTATCACATATGCATATAAAATGTTACCTGGGTGTGTGACTCCAGCCATTAGATGGTTAAAATGCTGTACAAAGAAAAGTGATGTCAAATAGACATTCACTCAGTTAGAAGATGTGCCGGGGGGTTTAATCGTACCTCTTAATGAAGTAAAATGAAATTTTTTAAATGGCCAGCAATAAGGTCATTTAAAAAAAATACTCTTGTAGATGCAATGACAGTGAAGGAATGCCTTTGCAATAATTGGAGTTAAATAAGGGTAGGGTGTAGTGGAGAGGGAGCATACTAGAGGTATATGGAACAGAAGCAAACTGGAAAAGTAGACCCCTGTTTAGCCTTTAACACTAATAAAAAACCCAAAGTCCGTTCAAATAAAGTTGACAAACTGACTTCATGGTACAAAATATAATTAATTTTTAGAAGTGCATATTCTGGAATTATCAAGGCCAGAAGCTTCAAAAAACAGTCAAAGACATGGTCGGGTATAGAGAAGGTTTCCTAGTTCTCTACTGCAGGAGTCTTTTCCTCTGCTGTTGTGTTTTGTGCTCGGGTTTTTCTTGCTCATCTTCCCACCATTTCTCTTTGTTGGTATGGTTCTCCTGACAGATACGGAGATTAAGAGAAATTCAGGAGGTTATATACTTAATGAGTGGTTTAACCCCATTTCCTATGATGTGCAGCGGTAATGAATAAGACATTAGCTGGGTATGTTCGCTTAATGATCAGCCGTTAACAATTGGCATTTAATGCTTATGGTTGAGCTTAACAGTCAACATTCACTGAAACATGAGCTTTTTACAATAAGTTCTTTGGTGTTATCTTAAAATCAAGGGGGTCTCTGCAGACAAGTATCTTTTCTGTATTTGTGTGCTGGTCTGTTCCGTGGGAGAAGGGTGTTCTGGGCAGAGGTAGTATAGCCATGTATAAGGTCACTGGAACCTCCTGGTAAATACTGACTAAACTGATAGAAATTGAATAAAACTTAGGTGCATGAAATACAAGGTAATGTATTTAAGGGGTAATATATAATACATATAGTATATAATATATTATTATTTATTATAAAATGGTAGTTCAGTTAAAAATAATAGCATAAAAATGCCAGTTGCCTGCAAGATGATCAGCACACTTAACATTTTTTATCCATATCTATGAGTGTTTCTTTAAAATACCATTTGTTAAACATAATTCTGCAGGCTTTTTGCAGAGAAATTGGAGATAGAGGAATTTGAGGCCAAAGGAATCTTGGGGGAGGCGAGAAGGGGATGAGAGAGAGGGGAAGAGAAAGCGGTAGGGATAGTGGCATCAAACTCCCATTGCATTATCTCCATGTGTTATATATGGGCAGATCTGTACCACTACTGAATAATGGGAAGCTTTCTACTGGCAGCCAGCAGAAAAGTGTGGTTGTTAGCATTTTAATGTGGCCATAGAAGAAACGAATAGAATTCCATGATTAATTATTAAAAATAATTCCATTCAAAAAAGAAAAGTACTTTACTTTTACAGGCCATTGGTAAAACCTTGTATTGTTTCTAGTTTGGGTTATTTGTTTTCAAATTAGGCACTGAACTTACTGGAGGTGAGTCACTTGGAGGTGATGTTTCATTCATCCAGGCCTTTATATTAGTTCTATGTGTATTTATTGTTTGCCATAGTACCTGTTGTTCCTTTATTGCTTCTCTATTTCTGAAACTGTTTTCCAGTTCTACAGAATTCTTATGTATTTGAGTGCTTGGGTCAGTACAGCCATTCATTTTGTTGCTTTCATGTTAATTTTGGTATCTTAAAAGTATGGCAAAGTGCATTTTACTATATTTTTAATGTAAAAGTTTAAAGTATGTCTGGATTGTTTTGTTGCAAATAACTTCCTGATTTAATAAAAATTTGACCTTTTTACAAAGTGACAGTTCTCCCTTATGTTTGTGTAGGGGAAAATGCAGTGTTGCACTTCTGAATGAGACAGAATCTGTGCTGTCATATCTGGAGAAAGAGGTAATATGTGACTTCTATTTGGGTAAATATTGGGATGGGTTTATGGTCTTTTTATGGCTGTATGTTTAATAAATAGGCGAATGAAACTTTGAAAGTATTTTCTTGAATGATAAGTTAGAAAAACTATGTTGTTGAAAACACTTTTAAAAGTGTTACTGGATAAAAACTTAATTGACCCTCTTAAGTAATGGTTTTATTATGAATGTGGTTGTATTTAGAAAATAATTAATTTGAAGTAATTCATATGGTGTCTTACAAAAGAAAAATATACAGACTTTTTTCTGTAGTGGATAGTTAAGAGGGAATTCACATGGCTTTTTTTTCTCCTTATTTTTTCCTTTTTTCAATTTCTTTTTTTTTCCTAGAGGTGTTCTAGAAAGAAGAATCTTCTATAGTCAATGGACAGAGAGAGCAAGAGAGGCGCCTGTAGAAGGCAACTTAGCATAGGAGTTAAATTTTAAGGGCTCTGAAGTACTGTATGGAAAGTGTCTCCTCACCTTTCATTTCCTGTGGAAGGAACTTAAGGTGCTTAGCCTTACCAGAGGGGAAGAAAATTAAAATTCCCCAAGAATTTGAAAGATAATTTTATTGCAAAATACCTTTCAAAATAAACGTATTTTTCTTCGGGGTGTCTTAATACAGCATCAGGCAGACAGTGTTTTTTAGCTGAAATTAGCATGTCTTTATTTTAAAATTTCTACACCAAAACCACTGATAATCAGTAAAAATGTTTCTGAAACCAGGACCTGCCCTATTCTTCAGGTGACTGTGCCAGATATGTCAATACTGTTTTTGTGTAACCCGTTTTTAGACATTGACAGCGTTTTATACTTTTTGAGACTAATTTATGATGCAAAGGCAGTATGGTAGAGGTATTTAGGGGAGGAAACACGTTAAATTCAGAAAGCAATTAATATTAATTCTTTTCAAATCCATTGATACATTTTTGTGTATGAATCTCTTCATTATTGCTCTGTTCTGAAATAACTCCTAGCAATGAGAAAAGCTTCAATTAGCCGTTTAAAAGTACTCATGAAACATCTGCATTATTTAAAATAAGGATTAATGTACCAAACCTGTGCTCTGTAAAAGTGTGTGAAGGGGGTTACTTTAATATTTCCAGGTGGAAGGTGATACAGATTTACAAACTAATTTTGAAAATCATTATGCTGTTGCAAATGTGTCTTCTTTTTTAGGATACTTTTTTTTATTCATTGGTGTATGATCCATCACTGAAAACGCTTTTAGCAGACAAGGGAGAAATCAGAGTGGGGCCTAGATATCAAGCAGATGTGCCAGACATGCTTGCAGAAGGTAAATACATGATCTTTGATTAGGCAAAAAAAAAAATCCTCATCTTGCATTATTATATGCTGACTTCTAAACTAAACTAATCAGCATAAAGGCAGAGAAAGTAAAATAGTAGGTCTTAGAAGATTGACAAATACCAGTAGATACTATGAAGAAAGAAAGAAAGGATACTTGAATCGCTGTTGAAAAGATATTATCTGTTTCAAGCTTGTGTGTAACACGATTTAGGCATTCAATGTTTGTTTATTTAATTGTACAGTCCAGTTAGTTCTTTGATATAGGCCTCGTGGAAAGAAGATGTAGGGGACCAACCCATTTTGTAGAATAACAACATGGTAACAAAATAAGTGAAAAATGTATTCTTTCCCTTTTAAAACAGGCTCTGCATAGATAATACGTCTTTGTGTCGTTTTATTTTAAAATACTGGCTTTCATCCAAGCATTTTGTCTGCTTTGTAGCAGGACTGAAACAAATGTTTCAAGCATTGGCATATCTTTAAAATCACTGGTGTTTTTAAAATTTTATTTTATTTATTTATAATCTAGCACAACTACCTGTGCCTTAGTCTTTTGCTACATAGGAACTTTATTCTTTTAAACAAAATTTCAAGTACAATATTTATTTAGTATTTGGGTGTTATTTAAGAGACATGAGCAGCTGTGTCTTGTTACGTTTGCAATTATATTTACTTAGTAAATTTTAAAATGAGCTGGTTTTGTCAGTGAAATGTGCACTCTACATTGAGTGCTAACAAAAGAAAAAGTTTCCTGAGAAGTATCTAAACATAGATACTGTTTTCAAGAATCTTAGTATTTATTCCTTAATAAGAAAGATTATGTGACAGGAATATTGCTTGCACTAAGTCAAAGGAGTTCTGAATGCCCCAAATATGTATATTTATAACCTTAAATGATGTGTTTTCCATACATTATGGGCTTTTTTTTCTGCTATGCTTTTTCTTTCATACAAAACTAGTATTACTTCTACAAAGCTTATTTAATGAAATGTATAAAACAAGAATTATTTGATTTCTGGCAGGTGGCAGATTATTTTACGACGGATGCCATTTAGTAGCTCACCTCCATTATTATTCTGACTTTTCTTTAATAACCAGAAATAAACTGTAGGAAGTCTTTTCCAGATTTGTTTATAAGGTGAACAGACTTATTTCAGAACAAGTTTATGACTGGAATATGATAGGCTGCTATGCTTGCTGTAAAATGTGCCTGTCATAGGGAAACAAATAATTATGCAGACATTCATACGCTCAAGAGGAAAGCTTCCCAGAGGACCAAGAGAAAATGACTGTCTCAATGTGTGTATCAAGTAGCCAGGAAGTATTGATGTGTTTCTGAAGTAGGTGGTTGAATTATTGGGTTTTCAGGATGAGGCGGGGTTGTCTGGCAGGCAGGAAGTCTTTCCCTGCTGATTTCCCTATTGAATTCTGCTACTTAAATTACTAAAGACAGAGCCTAATTATGGAATAGTGAATATTGCATATATAGTAAATGTTTTTCCCATGGAAATTTTACTTTAATTTTTTTCTAAAATTAAATTCTATATTTATTAAAAGTTAAGTTACTAAGTTCTTCTGGAGCTTAACTTTCTGAGTTAAATCCTTGATTCAGTTAAATGAGTAGAAGATCTTTCTCTTACATCATGAAGGCAGAATTTCACTGTGTTTTACTGTCTTGTTTTTCTCACTCCCCATTAATCCCCAAAATGCGATAAGTGATGCAGTCTTCTTGCTGTCTTTAGTAGGCAATAATAGTCCATCAGTTATTAAGGTTCAGAAACACCAAGTTGCCCACAAAGCAAAGATCTGGTGGTATACAGAGAACTTCTTTGGCAGTTTAGTTGGATTAATCTGTGCTTATTTTCAGTGGCTGGTGGAAAAAAGAGTTTGGTTTTAAGAGGATAAAAATATCTGAATTATTGTAGTTTTGACTGATTGTTATCTAAATGTTTCCGTAGCCGCCTGACCTCCAAGGAAAAGAAAAAGATGATTCAGCTATTACTGTGTCTTTATGTAAGCTGACAGCCTGAAAGTTAATCCATTCACTGTCAAGCCTTTTCATTCATTAAAACAAATCTACACAATGTTTAAAATTAATAGAATAAAATAGATACGTTTGGAAAATACAGGATTCTGTGAAGATTTCTGAATCTTGAAATAAATTTTTCAGCCTGTATTTTTAAAAGTGGCTAATGGTCTGTATGTCCAAATCATTATGCCTTAATGTATGACTCTTTAAAACTAAAAGCCTAGAGCAATCACCTTAAATAAAAAGAAAGAATTTAGACAACTTGAAGTCATTCAGAGATCACTTGAGAAAAATGAGGTTTTATGTCATCTAATAATAGTATTATATAATGAAATAGAAAGCATTACTAACTTTATTCACACGTAAAATTTGTCATGCCAATTTTAATGTAAAGCAAGTATACCTTTTTGAAGGTTGGTAGGCATATTTTATGTTTACAGAAAACCCCCAAAGCCATTTAAAAAAAAAAAAATTTAGAAAAATCGAAGATTCGCACACCATCAGTTATTTTATTTTAAAAGTTACTGGTATATAAATCCTATTCAAACGACTTAAAACATGCCAGTTCAGATTAGCTTTCAGAAGACCAGTCACAAAGTGGCTGAAAAATGAAAAAGTTCTTTGAACTGTGAAAGCCCTTCCACATCTTCTGTAAACATTAAATTATTTTGATATAAACACGCTGATGTATTCTAGTAGATTAAAAATCGAAATTGCTTGCATTTTCTCAGTACTGTGATAATTTATGTTCTGTCTAAATGGACTACTGTCTTTTTCTTTTAGTGTTTATTGGAGAACTATATGCTTTTTTTTTTTTTGGTAGGAATAGGTTCCCCCCCCGCGTTGATGGTACCATTTTTCTGTCCTTGAATAAAACACTCCAAAACGTGGTGCTTAGGCTAAACTTTGGATAATGCAGCATACCTTCTCCTCCCCACCCCACCCCATGGGTGAATTGGATAACTTTATATTTCTCTTTAATTTTTGAAATGGAAAGAATGTTTTCTTTTTAAAAGACTAAAAGGTTTATTAAAATCCAGATACATAATGAAGTATTACAGATCCAACTGTTTTTCCACTTTGAGATACAGTGAATCATAAATCCTCTATGCAGTTACAGTAAATACAAACAAAATTTAAATCCAATTGAAAATGCCTAAGTCTTGTTTATCTATGCTGCTTTTGTTTGTAGTGGTTTAGCTAAATCGCTTAGATTACACATTTAGTGAAGACTATAACTTCAGAGAAAGACCAGACCAGATTTCTTTCAGCAGTCTCTTATGACTTCTGTTATGAGCATCTTTGAGAGTAAAACTATGATGAAAGTTGTCAGATTTGAATGATATTATGGTTGTGTGAAACCCTTCCTTCTCCCCCCAGTGCCAAGTGCTCCAGTCTTTCTAGACTCTGGTTCGAAGATTTTGAGAGTCTTTTTAGTCGCTCTTACTACAGCGGAGAACAGGAGACTATATTCTACAGCATTGACTCAAATTCTGGCTAGTATGATAGTAAAGAAGGTCCTTTCTCTGCTTTTAACAACACATTCTCCAGTGGCTTATTCTGTGAATACAGCAGTTGTTTATTTTCAAATCTGTTTCCAGTGTGGGGTAACATTCTGCTCCTCTGTACAAAGCAAGAATAAAAAGGTTTATCTCGGAGAACCAAAGCATGCATTTGGACAACGAGTATCTTGTTTCAAGCATCCCTACTCTGCCGTCTAGGAGCAAGGTACCTGGTTCTCTGCATGTGATGGCCAGAAGCTGCTGTCTGGTGCATCCAGCTACTGTATTTGATCAGCAAGTTATAAAACATGTGACTAGTAAGTTCAAAAAACAAAACAAAACAAAAAAACCAAACAAACAACAAAAAAACCCTATACAGTTTTGCTTTGGGCAAGTCATTATTGTCATCATTATTTGGTTAAAAGGCATACTTTTATAAATTGTTCTGAATATGATCAAATAGCTATCACCTTTAACTAACAGATTTTATTCATTCCTGTGTTGTGTAGAGGGAAATACAAGTGTGAGCAAGGTCAGGGAAATTGCTCCAAGGCAGATCAATTTAGATACTTCATGGACTTCAGTGGAATACTGATCCTTCCCTATCTCACAAGTTGATCTATTTAAAACCAAATGTTTTTAAATCCTGGCATTTCAACCAGTATTTCTCAGCAGCGGAACAACTGATGCAGTGACAAGTTCTGTTACATGGTTGGCTAGAAAGCAGAGAATGAGAGAGGGAAAAGTACCAGCATAAGCATTAGAGATATAGTTCATGAAGTAGGATAATGCTCAAGAATGGGAGAAACTGGAAAAATTTTTTTTTTTTTTTCCCTCTACAGGATTTCTTTTAATGCATTAAAAAAAATGTTTCTCTCATGTGCCTGCACTAGTCTTTCTGCCTCATGCATGCTATCGTAGGTCTAATTGTAGTTGTCACACAGTAAAATACATGACAGCTTAGCTAAACAAATACAGTCAAAGTGTTGTTATAGATAGGGAAGCCAAGTATTTAAAAGAACCTCATTGGCCAAATCAGTAGTTTCTTAAGTAATGGCTTACTTTTATTTATTCATAGGGTTGTGAATCAGGTGGAAAGACTGGGACAAAGCCAACAGAGCTCAATAATTGTTCCCCTGTCTGTCAAAGCTCGATTAAAACTTCTGAAGCAAAGGATATTTTCTAAATAAACCTAACAAAGGACTTTATCGTGACTGTGTTCTGGTCATGATACATAAGTCTAGTGAAACTATTTGGAGTAATTCTCTGGCTAAAAAAAAACAAACAAAAAATACTAAGTTGTGTTTTCAAGAAAACTAATAAAATTTGGAATAACTATCTCCTATGATTTTAAAGAAAATTAGAGACTAAGTGTAATTTGTTGAAATTTTCTGATGTTACATTTACTTTGTCAAGCAATAATGAATGAACCTTTTGTGTATCAGGATTTGGTAG